TTGTATAGAGTTAACGTCAGACTGTAGTAGATAGCAGTCATGAGGGGAACTAATGGCTCGGTAAATTTTGATGTCATCAGCAAAAAGCAGACACTTAGAATGGGCAACTGCATCACACATGTCATTAATAAACACATTGAAGAGAAGGGGTCCCAAGACAGATCCCTGAGGTACACCTGAGAGAACTTCAAAGGGTGAGGAAAGAACACCAGAAACACGGACCTGATATGCCTTGTAGAACATATAGCAGTTATATGGCATTCTGACAGTTCATTTGGATTGTCCAAGAGCTGTGTTGATTAACTAATGGGTTTAATATTAACTTTTTTTTTTTTTTTGTAATTACTTGCACAGAAAACAAACTAAACTTTAAAAACTAAACTTTAACATAGCTTAAGTCTTGGATGTGGTGTTTCCCCTACACCAAAATCCTAACCTCAGGTTGACATTTAAGACCTTACGTTGCTCATCCTCCCCCTTAAATCATTACGATGTAGACTAAACTCTTGTACCAATTATATGCTTTACAGAATAAACATAAGGCATTCTATAGCAACAGTCATTTTGTATTAATGCAGTAAAATATAAATCTAAGACAGCAATCTTTTGGAGCATCCTAGACAGTATGAAAATAAAGGGGTGCTAACGGCAGACTGCTGTGTAGTGTTTCCAGAAATGGGGAAAGAATTTATTATTGTCAGTACTTGCTAATTTGGCTGCTGCTGCTGCTACTACTACTACTACTACTACTACTACTACCACCACCACCACCACCACTATTATTGCTGCATAATTTTGTACCTTTAATGTGAATGAATAAATTATGAATTTCTTTCAATACCGTTTTATAGACGAAACATAGTTTCAGAAATTGTAAGAAATGTCGAATGGAAAATTTGACATTAGATGTAAAAGCCCATAAGAAATTTATTCTCTTCTTAGAACTGGATGATCCATGGATTGACGAGGCAACTTTCTCTTTTCCACAGTTTGCCAGCAACATAAGTTGTACCACTTAATATAATTGTGCATTAAATCAGATGCAGTTATTGTTCAGTGCTAGTACCTTGAAATTGATGTTGCAGACACAACACTCGATAGACAAGCTGCTAGAGTGGGAGAACAGTCATCTGTACCACAAGCTGGGGCTACACTGGCGACTTGCAAAGCAGCGGTGTGATTCCTCCTCAATGATGGAATACGTAAGTTCAAGCTTTCTTAAAATATCTTCGTATAGAGCAGCTATACTCAAGTAGGGCCACATTCATGAACTATGCAAAGTGCAGGATGTAACAAATTATAATTTATTACAGATACAGTGTTATATTTTTTTCAGGTCCTCCTCATCGAGTTTATACCGAAGATTCCAATCTATAGACCTGACTAAATACATGTGAATGTACTGACTACCACTGCAGCACCTTATGCAATGCAAAGTGCACATCAGTGAATATTTTTCTTTTGATGATTCATACACATAGCACATATAGTGATTGTGATATGTTGGTGACAGATGGACTGGATACAACACACCTGTCATGCACTCAGAAAAGAAGGTCACAGTTGAAAGTATAACCATACATAATGCTACATTTAGAGCACGCTGCTTCGTGTTGTAATGTGCATGCTTATCTAAAGTATGACTTGAGTGTGTCTTCTGACTTTGTTATTAAAACAGTTCTTTATTTGTAAAACGTGAAGTTTCACATTTAAGCTAGAATATATTTTGTTGTTGCTTAAATTTTTAAAGTAAAAGCTTATAGAAATGTTTCTCTCAAAATCTGTTAGAAGCACAATGAAATACACTTCTGTTATTTGACTCTGTAAGTGCTATGTAGTGAATGGTTCACAGTGGCAAACTAGAAGAGATCTGTTCATTTTAAAGAGGACTGAAAAAAAATTGAGATTCGATGGATGGCTGTATTTAAGGAATGGTCTCTTTCTCCCAAGGTGATATTTCTTTCTGTGCTGGGAGAATATTTTTTAAGCCACTTTATGTAGTTTAACAGTTTTCATTTAGCAGTTGAAATTAATTTTATAGAATCACAGGGCACTTCATGCAAGTAATGTTTAATTACTGTGCCCTATGCTTGGATGTTCAAGACGTGTTTGTTGTTATATCAAGTTGCATCATTAGCTATTTTTAAAACTAATTGTGCTTTTCATGAAGTTGCTGGTCATTGTAAAGACTTGGTTCCACTACTAATCATAACACTGTGGTTAGTATTCAGTTCTCATTGCTTTCAATGATGAGTAGACAAACCTGCCATACAACATAACTTATTTATTAATTTCAATAAACTATCTTTTGGAATAGGTAGTGAAGTCAGTCACGTACTGTTGCTTATTGAACATTCTTCATGAACAGAATATTTTATACATTTTAGAACAGAACCCTTTTATACTATATGTATAAATAAGTTTATTCCTTCATTCTCAGCCTTATAAACCGCTTGACTGTAGAATGAGAAACTGGCCTGAGTTCACCTCCTCTCAGATGCTGCTATATGATCTGATGGGATATTAAATCCATTCTTCAAAAATGACTTCAGCAAAACTACTGTATTTGCCAGATATTAAGAACAGTGATTAAAAGTGATATTCTGCAACCACCAGGCCCAATCACATTGATATATGTTTTGTGACAGACACTGAAGTTCAACTTTGATGGTGTCTAGAGACCATTCCATATTTTAATCTGTAAAACCTCCAAGGTGCTTGGTTTATTTCTGAGCTAGTCTGTTTCAAGTTTCACCAGAGATAAAAATCACACATGTTCAGAGGCATGAAATGTGTAGATTGTAGTCATTTAATGATTATTCATTCATTAGCTCAAATTGAATTTCTATGATATGTGCTTAAAATATGTGGAACTACAATTCTTAGCAAGAAACCCATGGTGTTTGATGCTGTAACTTTCCAAAAATTGGACAGAATTGCAAAGAATATGATAATTGAATGGTCATTGAACAAACATACAGGCAAAGATTCATAGAAATGAAATGCATAGTTCTTATCGTTACAGAAGTATATTTGCGTTGAATGACTTGTGCCCTCAGGTTCCCTGGATCTAAGCGTGTGATTTTATCTTTGTGGAAACTTGACAGAAATCCTGCATGACTTGTCCACACAGTTCTGGGATTTTACAGATGAGATATCCAGAATGTTATTCTAGAAATCACAAAATGTGAACATTAACACATCACAGAATTTATTGTATCATTATGAAATACGGCTGGATGTTGAAGAACATCACTTTCAGTAGTTAATGTTATACTGGTTACTGTATATACTGGCATATAAGATGACCCTGTAAGTTTGAAAAGAGCCCCCTAAAACTAGGGATCATCTTATATGTCAAGCATAAAATGTGAACTCTAGTTCCTTACGTGCTACTTGATATGTAACAACTATGCTTCACATAACTCCTGTGATAATTATTTATAATTGAAACTCATGTTTGGTATGCATAATTAATGTAGAGATTATAATCAAATAATGTGTGGTGGGATAGCATGACCTCATTTGCCATAAATGCGAAGTCATCAAGACTAACTCGACACCACATGGCATTTGTATCAGCTGATGCGTGGTAAACAAATATCAGAGATAAGCAACAATCCAGACAGCTCACAGTGTGGTCATTAATAACATAAATGATGATCTGTGTTTGTCTCACTCTCAGATCATCACCCTTTCATACTAGGTTAATATCTGTGAAGGCTAACAGTATTACCTTATTACCCAAAAGTGTGATATATCAAATTCAATAGATGGTACAGAGGGTGATGTGTTTTGGCAAGATGCGGGAAAAGTTGAAGTCAGCCACACCTTCTGATTCATAGTTTCGTCTGTCAGCTGTTGATGATCAGGATTTCTTAGGATTTTAATGAATTTTATTTTAAAACTGTGTTAGTCATCTTAAAAAGTTGTCCCTGTACACAGTCCTAATTAAGCACTGCACAATGAAGACAAATGAGGGAGTGGATGTATAGATCCACATTTTCTTGACCTTGGCAGTAGTTGCAAGGTGAGTGGTCAGCTTTGCACCCTGGCCACTTTACCCTCAGCGAAAGAGCCCCTAGTTTCCATTGGAAAGGAGGCTGCATGGGCTCCCAAAACTGGTCTAGACAAGAGGTAGAAAATTCTTGACCCTACTGGGACTCAAACTTTGTCCCCTAGCTAGCTGCTATACCATCTGTGCTATCCCAGCTTCTGGTTACAGTCATCTTACTTGGTAAATACAGTCTCAGACTTAAATTTTTAATTTAAAATTTGGGGATCATTTTATATGCCAGTATTAATGGTAAGTAAACTTGTTTTGCTGAGGCTTGGACAGAAATTGCAATCGAATCATGCAGTAGTGTGTGGTATTCTTATTTGAGAAAATATGCTGCTCAGCCATATTTCACTCTATGCACAAGTGGTAACAAGTACTGCAAAATGAAGGAATAGTTTTGTCTGTATATAACTGCGTATTTTATTACTTCCAAACATTGGCAGGTGTTGTCTTGTGGATTGTATATGACCTTGTAATCCTAATGTATGAATTGTGAAGGTCATTTCAGTTTATTTTTTGTGGTTCTTAACATTAACACTCTTTGCCCAGTGAGATATTCTTCAGGGTACACTTGCAGCTTTGTCATTCGTTTTGAAATGCCTGTAAATATTGGTATACCGCTCAGATTCTTGTTGGCATTAGTGTTATATGCTGTTGACTACACTGTAAGTACCCTCTGTCAGCCATGACAGGTTACAAGACAGAAGTTTAAACCTGCACCACACTGGAAATTTAATACTGCAGAAATGTAACAGATGAGAAGTTATGTGAGAATTCATAACTGTGGTTCTTAGCATGTTAGCATGTAAGGTGTTTCATGACCTCAAAACAATATGGGCACTCTCATAAATGGGTAGAAGCCCATGAACTTGTGAATATGTAATATATCAGTGACATATAGTCATTTGTCACATCGACATTGATGGTGGAGTCAGAGGAGATCTGAAAAGTTGGCTTTTAAGTCAACATTGACATGGCTGATCGCCTGAGAAGATTTTAGTACATAATGGGCAGCTGTTTCGTTTTATAAACATTTCTTTATTGAAAGAATTATGTTGTGTTGCATAATCATTGATATAAAGTACTCAGTAATTAGCACAAGCTAGTTTTTGTGCAATTTAGATACATTTTATGTTAACAGGACAGTAGCTACCTAGCATAAAGTGAATTGGACAGATTTGAAGTCAAGCAATCTCAGAGGAGGATCTCTAAGAAACTCATATTGTAAATAATATAATATGCAAATATAACTTATGTTTGTAAAGGCATTTGTGTGCGTCATTGTTCCTGTATCTGCTGTCCGGTGTGTAATGTCTGTAACAATCAAGTATACCTTTCTTTCGTTGGAATGTTCAGTGAGGGAAGTTCTGCTCAAAACTGCAGGTTCAGTTAATGGTTCAACATTGTTTTTAGCAGTAGAAGTTAGAAGATTACATGTAATGTTTATTTATATTTATAATTTCCTTTCATCCATATAAGAGACTATGTTCATATAAAACAATACAGTGTCTGAAACCCATAGAACCACCTGCTGTAACAAGCTTATTTTAATGCACTAGCATTTTAATACTATTGAACTGGGAAATGCTGTCATATTAGTGAATTATGTATGATTATTTTCTGGAAGTAATGGTTTTGGTTTGCAGATTATGTTTCTCTCTCCCTTATGTTTCAGAAGGTAGGATTTGGTGTTCTCTCAGCAGTGGCTATGAAGGACTTACTTTTGGGATATAAAACCATGTAGCACCTTGAGAGTCAATCAGTGTACCTCCAAAATGCAGTTGACTTTCAGCAGACTACATGGCACTATATCCCAGAAGATGGAACTCTCTGTGTTTCAGAATGTTTCCTTTACACATGGTAAGTACCATTTTTAGACCTGTCAGCATTGATGTTAGTATGATTTACAGTGGAAACTCCAGTTTCGCCCACTGCTATATCAGTTAAATGTACTTTGCCTTGTATGTATCACAGCACATCATTTAAATGATTTTTGTACATTACATTTCAGCGTATTAAACTAGGGAGGGGTTACGTAATTTTATTCACTTCTGTAGAGTTACAAGTGTACTGGAGTAATATTTCTGTGGGGCACAGTGCTAATGTACAATGAACCAAAGAAAATGTTGAAGGGAAAACTGTTGGATATGAGGTTCTCACAGCAGTGACTATGAATTCTATCCACTGGCATGTAACACCATTTAGTCTGATAGAAGTCAGCCAGTGTTCTGGAGGAATGTGCTGCATCCGTTTTCAACAAGCTCTGCTTGCCACGTCATACTTGTTGGTTTGTTGCATGGTTTCCTCATTGATCCTGAAGATGGAAGCAGTACTTCCTCCAAAACACTAGGTTGCACAGAGTTACAGCTTAGAAGATGTGCTCTTCACTGAGGAAGAAGGGTTAACATAGGGACTTGAATTGAAGGAAGCATGACAATACTACTTCATTGTTTCTCATCCAGGGGTTTGGGGCAGGTCATGTAGAATAATTTAAGAAGTTATACAGTAAAACGCTAGTTATGAGAATTAGTTACATAGGTGGTTCAGGTAATTGGATTAGATTGTTCTCGTGAAAAAGCACTATTATAGTATACTGTATTATTATGGTAATGAAAGTCCAGCAGTGTTTGTTTAGCAGACTCATTCCTTGGTTGTGATAAGGTTAACTGACTTTTGGTAATTGTCATTTTTAAGTTACTATGACATTTCTACTATTGATCATTGTTAGATCTTTTTTTTTTGTACATAATATATGAAATAATGTATTCTGATTGCCATCAGTATGCTGCAATTGACATGACAATACTACTGCCATTCAGTGTATAGTGTACTTAATAGTTTTAGAGAACTGGATAATAGCAGCATGGCAATCATGCCTCATGCTTGATCATTGCTCAGTGTAATTCAGGGCATGAAGTTTACTAGCAGTACTAGCACCGAAATTTCCGAGGTCATTAGCGGAGTTTATTATGCTTAAGAAAATTGCAAAAGCTAATGTGGGCATGAAAAATATGTGTTCATGTTACTGATGATAATTTTATTTCAGAACTTAGAATTTGTATGTAGTGTTACCAGTGATAAGGCTGAAATATGTAAGGTCTTCAGAATCCAGAGATGTAACGTTTGACTTCACTGAATGATTTAATATAATGCCTGGTAGCTTATATGAACCAACACACTTTATATGTATATTACTGATTTTTATTGAGCGAATTCCACATGCATGATGCATTTAGTGGTCAAATGAATTTAATTAATGGTGGAGTGTTTGTATTCTGCCCTGTCATCAATATATTAAAGCACAGTCATCTATGAGACGCCCCAAACTGGAAAATATCTCTTCTTTCTGAATTTGGAATTGTCAGCTTCTGAACACCGCAGAAATTATTGTGCATTTTCTTGTTTAGATGCAAAATGAAACTGCTGGAACATGTACAGTAAAAAGTGAAAAGTAAAGCTATCCCCGTACCACACCGTGGGGCCCATAGGATTGTGAGCGGTTGTGAGACGTTGAGGGTCCCACATTATCTAGACAATCATAGGTGGCGGTAAGGTTGTCAGCCCTACACGCCGGCCGCGCTTTACTCCCCACGGAAATTATTTTAATTAATTCCTGATCTTCCTGATACTCATTTCTGTTAGGGGCTGAGTAAACCCCAGGACCTCGTGCGGCTGGAAGGATTAGGTCAATTGAAAAAAAATCCACTACGCTACCGCGTGCCCCTCACGTACTTATACAAGACTTAATAATTCTTCTGAACTATTTTGGAGGCATTATCTTCATTTGTGCACAGAATGTTTCAATTATGTCCTCTCTCAACAAATAATATTAACTTGTCATGAAATTTGGAAGCATACAAATCTTCAATTTGTGCAGATAGTTTGTGTACCATGCTTATTTACTCGTATTTTTGAGTAAGTGAATTTAAAATCTATTATTGACACTTCCTGACCTTCTGCAACATATATATGGATCAGCATTTCAAAATGATTCGCTCATATCTTAGTAATAAATTCTTTTATGGATTTTTTACATATTCAGTGTGAAGCCAAAAGCCACTGGGCTTCTGTTGACTCTTAATAACTTAAAATACAATTAATTATCATTACTATGGCTACTTTAATGTTCTATAAGTTGTTTTTCAATTATAATTGTAAATATTATATATATGTAGCTACCCTTTCCTACCGGCATAATACATATTCTGTATTTTCTTAGTGACTTTTACTTTTTCAACTTTAGGAAGTTATTGGTTGTGTATTGGCTGCCCTGTGTAAGGTGGCGATACCTGGTTGTGACACGAGAAATTTCGTTCAAGATCGTTCCTACCCTATAAAATGAATTCTTCAGAGGAGCGGCTTGCACAGCTGAATAAAGAAGTTAATGAGGAACTAAGATGTTACATTTTTTTACCGCACTTCGTGGCTTTCCATGAGGTTTTAGTTTCGAGTGCTCAGGTTTCACTCCACTGATGCGCTACAGTTTTATTTCATATTTCCTTGTTAACTGTCGCTGAATTAGCTTGGTCTCAAGTGTTTAAATAGCTGCGTGATGGTACGTTGACGATGGGACGATTCCCGTGTTTTCATACAAGCTAAAATTGTAAGTTTTGACAACACTACTTGGGTTTGCATGAGGTTTTTATTTCCCAGACGGCGCTAAAGTTTTTATTTCGTTTTTTACATCTAACTTGTGCTGAGTTAGCTTCGTCTGAAGTGATTAAATAAGTGCGTTGTAACCATACGTCTCTCGCTAAAATTATTTAATTAGGTTGTAATTTAATATGGTTTATAATAGACGGCTATCTCTCATTATTTTTCTTTTATTTTATAGTCACTGTGGGATTTGTATGAAAGAGACGGTCAGTGAGTGATAGGAAACAGTGGTGTACTTGAAA